TTTTTTCTAATCACAAAAAAAGAATCAAAAAAAAATAATTATAAACCCCCATCCTACCAACAATCAACAATATAAATAAATTTGATTCACCGTTAACCCTTTGGGCAATGTTCTCTACTAAATCATTATATGAATAGAGTTGACAAAATCACAATTCATTTGAAAACTAGTGATTGGGAAAAATATAGTCTTTATTAATGGCAAACCCAGAAGCACAAGAAGACAAAGGACTGTCAGAAAAGAATCTTTTGCATTTTTAGCACTTCAGATTGCTGAAGCAGCTGAAGGACACACTGTTCCTTTACATTGCTATTGAGAAGAGGCTGGGGAAAGTAAAACAGCCACATTTCTGTGGTAGCCAGGGAAACACAGAATGGCAGCAGCACAACCTACCTGCCTCTGCTATTGGAGTAAAAGGAAAAGAATGCAGCAGTGTAACCTCTACAGACCCTTTTTGAGCAGAGGGCTGCTGCCCCTTGACTTGCCACCCTGGGGAGGAGGGATCATCCTGCAGATGCTCCCCTGCTGCTGCCTGATGTGCTCCTCACTTTAAAACTAAACTGCAATTAAAGTTACAAAGACAATTCACTTCAGAAGCATCCTAGACCTGAACACTGGTGAGGGCTTTGCCAGGATCTGTGTTTGTTTGGAAGACTCAGGAAAGGAACCTGAAAGAAGCCTCTGCTGTAACTTTGGCTCTTCCAGGACTTTTCAGGGATATCATGGGCACCTGGACAGTTTGAAGCTCTGTGAAAGCAATACACACTGGTGTGTGTTGCTCTCCCACTGAAAGAGATGTACCCAGAGATCCCAGTCAGCTGAAGTGACATTTAGTGGTCCTTGCTGGGCTCTGAAGGCAGGGGAGGTTACTTTTCAACTGTGAGGCTGCTGTGGAGCCAGGTGGCTCCTCAGTACAGCTCCACTGCAGGAACAGTGATGGGCAGCATGGGGGTGTTGGGGCTGGGGCCAGCCAAGTGCTGCCAAACCTGAAGCAATCCCTATCCCTAAGCTCTCTCAGACTGATTTCTCTGTTCTCAGTGCATTAGCAGCAAGATCTGTAATCTTGAAGACACTGAGAAGAGGCTCCTCTCCAAGAAAGAAAATAGAAATCTCAGCTATCTCTATTTGGGCAGCAATATCCAATTTATTCATCATGAGTTCTGTCTCTTCTGCCCAGTCTGTACTGCAAATAACCCACATTTGACTCTCTGTGCTAGTTACAGTTTCTAAAAATGCTACTTTCTCCTAGTCATATGGCTTCCTCTCACAGAATTCATAATGTATGAGTGTTGCTCCATATAAATATAGCGTACATCTGATGTGCCTACAGATAATATCACAGCACAACTGAACTGTGATTAATCGTGGTACTAATCATCCACCTGTTTTCTTTCAATATAACTCTGGCACGTGCAATAAAAGGAGAGAGCCTGAGACAATGGTCACATCCCTGCAAGTATGAGGGAGATGAGACAGAAGATGGCTGTGGTTTTATTTTCTATACATTTAAATCGAGACTTAGTAGTGTCTGTGCATTTTGCAAATACTTGTCCTGAAATTCTTAGCACTTTGTATGAAGCAAAATATATTGAAAAATAAAGCAAATGGGAGGAAAAGGAAAGGGTGGTAAGAAAATGATTGCCAACTCAAACCCCAGCATAGTTTTTCCATAACCCACATTCTCGGCAGCCTCTTCTGCATATTTAAATCTCATCCTAGGCTTTATGGCTCCTTTGCCACGGCAAAGTGAGAGTTCTTAATCAGCTCTGGAAATTTGACAGCCGTCTTGCACCTAACCCAGAGGATCTCCTCCGACATGGAAAAGCATGAAGCCAAGACATCATATACAGGCTGTTAATTTAACTTGACATGTTACTGACGGCATTAGAAAACCGTGTATCTGACATCTGCTTCATGCAGGATCTGCTCAATTCTTCACATTATCTCACTTCTTCAAAGCTACTGCAGGTACTGGGCCAGTTTGTCTGTGGAAAAGTAACTTTATATTTGATACTTAAATCTACAGTACACGTTTTTTTCACATCAGTAACCAGTACATACATACATATATATATATATATATATATATATATACATATATGTTGTGTGTATAAGATTTTTTAATTTATTAGGGTTTCAAATGTAAACCCATCTTTTGCCAAGGAATAGACAGGTTTCTTCAAAACGTAAATGAAAGTGTTACAGCACGTTGCCTGTCCTGTTAATACTTGATTTACAATCTGTGACAGGTGAGCATTTAGAAATGAGTTATTGGGATTGACTGGAAGACATATGGGAGAACTAAGCTTTCTCAGGGCACCATGTTTCAAAACAGAAAATTGTTTTTTGACTAAACAAATTGAAAAGGAAAAAAAATATGTTTTCACAGAGAAACAGAAGGAAAAGCTGAGAGGAATCACCTGCTATTAAAAAACAGGCACCAGAGACCAATTATATTTTGGTTTTGAATTTGCATGGGCATGATCTACAGTTTCTGTGGGAAAGACTTCCTTTGCTCATCTCAGTAGAAAGGCTCCTCTCAGAATGTGTGCAGCAGCTCCTGCTGGAGCACTCACACAGCTGCTGGATCTGACTGCAGAGAAACAGAGCCCCATTCACTCTTAGCAGTCAGCAATATGCAATTTGAAGATTCAAATTTGGAGTGTGATTTTGAGATGCACTTAAGCGATTTATGAATGCAGTTCCCACTGAGTGACCTTGGGGTTGAGCTCCTTACCACTGGAGGACAGTCACAACAATTTGGGATGCCTCAGTTGCAAATGGGATGCAGGTACTTAAATCCAAAACTGTGGTTCTGAAAACCATGAGCCAGCTACACCATAACCTCAAGCTGTGCTCATGCCCATCTAAAGTGACCTGAGCATAAATAACCCTGCTCATCTGAGTACGTGATGGGAGACGTGTAAACCTGAGCAGCACCCAGAAGCTTGGTGGGTTTCTGCAGAGATTGTCCTCCTCAGCACCTGCACTAGACTACAAAAACACAGCAGCAGCCACCCTGGTTTCTTTCAAATCACAGCTTGAGGAGACTGTTGCTACATGAATTAGCCTTTAGACAAGGTACACAGCAATCCACAGGCTAAGGCACATGGAAGCAAGTTTCCTTACTGCCAGTTGAGGTCCACATTGATAAGCTGCCATCAGGCTGACTTGTCTACAGATTAATTTTAATTCATTTCTGCATAGAAGCTGAGCTTTAGCTTGAAGTCTAGAAAGGGCTTCCTTGCCAAGGTAGTCTGCAGACTCCAGGGAAGCAAGAATTGTGGGTTTTAATCCTTTTGAGGCAAACAAGGACCTGACCTGGTTTATTCATGCTTCCTGGCTGTGTATGTGTGATAATCACTGAGCCAAGGCAGAAGGGAGGGGCCACCAGCACATCCCTTCTCTTGCATGTTTGCAAATTTTTCTACTTGCTTTTAAAAAAGCTGGAGCATATCTGGAGGAAACAGTTCACACTGTTTATTCAGGGTGATGGGAAATGTCTCCTGCCTTGACTGAGGACATTGCTGAAGCCCCAGGGGATAAAATCTGATTGTTTTCATTTTTTTCCTGTTAGCTATGTCTAAACAGCTTTCCACACAAGCTTCACCATGCTGCTTGCAGAAGTGTCTCAAGGATTTGTAACAGCACATGCAAAACCGTCTTCTCGAGATGGCAGAAGCATGGGTTTCTGCAGGGCAGAAATTCAGAAGGGACCCGTGTGATCAGAGGCACTGAGGACTGTGGGTGAGACAGGACTCTCTACCTCCATTTTCCTCTCTCTGCAACCTTGTACATCTCTTTACAGCCAATTTCCTGTTGGGAGGAATCAGGACTTATCCCTGCAATCCATCCATCTAGCAATGCTAGAGCACCCTGGCAGGGGAGGACAATGCTGGCCTTCATCCGTCCCTTGGGATACAGCAATTGAGGCAAAGGCAGTGCCATCATGTGGGCCAACTGTCCTCCACTCCTGCCTGCCTGCCCTCAGGCTCTGAGGCACTTCAGCTCCCCTTTTTAGTGATGAAGCCAGCGAGCCAGTAAGTGCTTACAGAAGCTGGAGTTCAGGCAGCTGTTCCCTGTGTAAGTCATGCAGAGAATCACCTCCATGGCAAAGGGAGCACTGGGAGACACAGAGATGAAGTGTCCCTCTGAGACAGCTCAGAACACAGCAGTGCAATGTGCTGTTCTGCCATCCTTGGGGGCTACCTGGAGCTGCAGCATCATTTTGCCCAGCATGGATCTAGTCCATGTGCTGTTAACAACATTCCAGACACTGCTGAGGATGTGAAGGAATGCTCCATTGGCTCAAGGTGCTCCAGTGCCATTGCACATGATTTTCATACTATGGGTTTCATACTATGGGTTTGCCTGGACAAAAATGGCTAAGATGCCAAAAATCTCACTGCAGATGGAGCCCCAAGGACTCAGCTTTGCTGAAGGATGGTCGATCCTCAAAAATGAGGCTTTTAACCCCAAGTCAGCACAAGCTTCTCTGAGCCAGCCTCCACTCTTCTCTATGGTGTCTATTTAAGCAAGGCATTGAAAAAGTTGGAGCTGATCGCTCATCATGCTCAGGTTTTTATAAAGTCAACCAAACTGCAGATAATTTCACACTAGGGCATGGCCCAGAAAGCTACTCCTTGTCAACAGAGTGGTGTTCTGTGGCCAGGTTTGGCCAAGTTCTTGTTCTCTGCACATGTAAGGCAGAACACAAACATGGGCTGTGACAGACTTTGAAGCATCCATGAGCTCAGCAGTGGCTCGAGTGTTGTCTACTGATGTGTTAAACTGGAACAGACAAAACTTAGGTGCAGAATTAATTTGCTCCAGAGTAATTACTTGCATGTATGATAGCATATCAATTCTGTTCCAGAATAAAAATTTCAGAAGCATATAGAAAGCAGAAAGAGATGCAGTACTACATTATTCATTATCTTTTTAATCAAGGGCTTAAACTTAAAAAAGGGTACATGTGTGATATACCCATCCAGACTCACTTTACTTTCAGCAAAATGGGCTGAAAAACTGAAAATATGCCTCGTCTTCACAGAGAGAGCTCTTCTTTTCTTGAGAACTAAAAGACAGAAATATTACATATTTTTCAAAAATAAAAGCTTCTATTCAAAGCCTGAAGAGACAGATCAATTCAAATATTTTCAGATAAAACCACAAAATCAAGGAAATTGAGAAATCTAAAATTAAAAGGTTTGAGATCCTTCATTAAGTATTTAATAGAGGTCTGAGATCCTTCATGAATTTTAGCAGAGGACATACTCTATCCCATCTTTAACAATCTTTGGGAAGGATACTGCACTTAAGAGCAATGTGATTTGTAAACTCAGAAAAACTGAATTTTCCCTGTATTCTGCCTATTTTAGCTCAAATATTTTGTTTCAAGTCTTTAGATATACATTTTCCTCCATTTCAGTACATACTTTTATGTTGGTTTCATCCTCTGTATAAAGGCAGCACGTTTCAAAGCTTTGAAACAGCAATATCCAGTTATTGTCATCATCCTTCCCTCAGAACACGAGCAGCTTGGCTTTGGGGGAAGCTTTTTGTCCTTTGATGTTTCCTCAGTAAAAGCAATTTCAGCAGCCCTGCTCTCCCCTGGTGCACAGCAGCATTTCTGCTGCTGGGGCTGCGGACACGGCCTCGCTCCTCCGGGTTCATTTGCTGGGAAGCAGGGCAAGCACGGCCAGCGCCCTCCTTCCTTAAGTGCATCCACGGCCACAACCATTATTTGCTCCAAGATTGCTTTTCTGTGCCCTGAAAGGCTCTGCAAATTCACGTAGGAGTAACAGCAATTTCAAGACAAGGCGTGCTCCAAGGCAATAAATGAGAACAAAGACCCGGGAGAGCTAAAAGCTGGAGGACTCCATTTATTTCTTTTATCCATTGAATAACTGAATTATTAAATTAAAAGCAATGCTACATCAGCTTTACCAAGGTGGGGGAGTAAGTTCTGAACACCAAGACTGAGAGTTTTATTCTGCTTTTATGGAACCCATGTCTGTATATGAACCTCAGCCAATTGCAGTCAGAAACAAATACAGCCCTACTGTTATAACCGGTAAATGGCAGGAGAAAAAACAGGCATTAGACTTGTTCCCAAGATGAAGTAAAGGTTAGTTCAGCTGAGTCTCCCCTTAGCTAGCTGCAACCTGCAGCAAATCAAATTTGAAAAATAGATTTGACCAACACTGAGAGTAAAACTAATAGATATTTCAAAGGAAAATGCTCATTTATGCTGTGTCCTTTGTTCACATGGAAATACAGTGTATTTGAGACTCCTTTGGCAAATCAAAAGGGAATTAGGAGGTTAAAACAGCAGCAGATAGGGTCAGCAAAACCCAACAACATTGGAAGCCTAGTAATTCCTCAAATAGCATTGCTGGTGGGGCAATGGATCTTGGGATCAGTGTCATGGTGAGCTCTACCTACATACAATGTTCTACCTATGCACAATGAGCTCAAACACTACAAAATGTTATTCTCTGAAGAAATTTGCAAACAAGTGTGAAACAGACATAGCCTCGGCACTTAAAGAGGTACATTTTTCAATAGAAGGCACACCAGGAGCAATTTGGTGGCTGAAGCAGGCGTAGTCCTGAGTACAAAGCAGGGCTTGGGACACTTGTAGCTGGCCTGCTCCTGGACAGCGGTCACAAGGCTCATGCCACATCAAGCCAGTTCTGCAAGAGATGACAAAGTGCAGTAATGCAGTAATTTATGTGGTTTTAAGCACAAGGCTGTGGGAACATAATTAGGTAGTCTTCTATCAAATGAAATGAATAAAAACTATAAAACAAAATGATGCACTAAATTTAGAAGAAAATTCATTTGATTATCACATCAGAGCTGAGATATTTCAGATCATACTGTCAGCTTAATTGGCTACAATTTATGTAGATTTGATAAAACTATCTGAGCTGTTACTAACGTAGGAAGTCACACTTCATGTATTCCAAAGCAGTTAGCCTTTTCACTCTGATGTAGCACTTGAAAACCTTGTGCTGAACACATTTTGAGCTGTATAAGGTGGGAATGTCTGGAATTGCTTATTATTTTGTGTTTCTGGTGATTTCTGTCATTACAGTGTCTGACTGCTCCAGGCATACCTAATGCTGGCAGGACAGTTCCCAGGAACAACATTGCTCTCATCTCGCTCATACCTCCCTAACAGTGATCAGTATGATCTTGTTCCTGCTCTCCAGTTTCTAATGCCCACAGTTCCCTGCTTACAGCTAGTTCTGCATGGATTTATACGCATATGACTTGGGATAGGTGTCTTTCAAGTCACAGGACCTTCTTGTTCTCCAAGTTCTCTGAACTTGGACCTGTTCACACAGCAAATAACTGAAGTTTCAGGGATTCCTGAGATCCTGTTCTGAGATTTCCAAGAGGAGTACATTCCAGTGGTACCTGTTGTTAGATGCTGTAGTTCATGGGCTAACTCTTAACACATCTAGCAGAGATAAGCAAGAAAAAGTCTGCTGGCTGTATTTACTCCTCACACTTCACTGATCCCTCAACATCTGGTATCTTCGGGAGGCCTCCTGCCTTTCTGAGCTTCTTTTGAGGGATGTCACCCCAGAAATTGCATCTCACCCAGGCAACTGAGTGTAAAGTTTATTTTTTATGAATATCTGTCATGGACAGCACCAATGAAAAGAGAGGGGTTATTTTATAAAAGAGACTAACAGATGTTCAGGACTACGTAATCAACAGAATGACCTCAGGGAAGCAGTTATTAAATAGCAGTGACCTATGAAAATTTTCAGCTTTCAAGCAAAACTCTTGAAACTTTCTTCCAGAAATGCTTCTCACTTGAGAACACAGCAGAGATTTGTGGGTCCCCATTGCTAGCATTGAAAATACTTTATTACTTTAAGGGCATTAGTGTTTCAAAGGGAGAGGCTCAATGAAGACATTTCTCCTGTCTTGTGTGTAGAGGCCTGTTCATCTCCACATGTCTGCATACTCTCTTGTGTATGGTGTAGATAGAGCAGTAAGTAACATGCTCATCTTCTAAAAATTAGGAGAGACTTCTTCAAGTTTTTACTTTGTGCTTGTCTCTTCCAGTAATAATGATTTTTAAAAAAAGCTCTGCTTGAATATACAGTTTGGAAATAAAAGACTTTTTTTCATATTTTTTGTTTTGAAAAAGTACAAGCATCTGTTCTTGTAGTTTGCTTTGAAGCAAAATGTTTTCTGATTCTTCAGTGTTTGTTTTTAAGTTATTAGTCAGTTTTCAAAATCACAAAGCATAATCTTTTCCTAACTAGTTTATGTAGAAGCATATGTGCTTTATAAGAATATGTCCTGTTCTTTACTTGGCAAAATTAACCTTCTAGCGCATGCCTTCAAGCTTTCTTAGGCCTCTAGAAAGCAAACTCCAGTCTGTTCTCCCCTCTCTCTTCCACAATTCAGCTAGAGAATGGGAAGGAAATCTCTCCTTGACTTGCAGAGGACTGATGTTCTGGGGCTTACCACAGCACCGTGTTAGGGTAGAGACTCAACTCAGGATGGACAGGTGCAGGCTGCACTACAGAAAATTGTGCTGGTTTGCTGGGGTGGAGTTAATTTTCTTCACAGTGGCTGGTATGGGGCTAAATTTTGGATTTATGCTAACACAGATAATACAGAGATGTTTTTGTTATTGCTGAGCAGTTCTTACAGAGAGCCAAGGCTTTTTCTGCTTTTCCCGTAGCCAAGCTGGTGAGGGCCTGGGAGTGTGTGTAAGGTTGGGAGAAGACACAGCTGGGACAGGTGACCCAAATTGTCCAAAGGGATATTCCAGACCGTATGGCATCATGATCTGCCTAGAGCAGGGGGAAGAAGGAGGAAGAGGAGATGTTTGGAGTGGTGGTGTTTGTCTTCACTAGTCACTGATATGTGCCATGAGGCCCTGCTCTCCTGGAGAAGACTGAACTCCTGCCTGCCCTTGGGAAGCAGTGAATTAATTCCTTGTTTTCCTTTGCTTGCTTGCGTGACTTTTGCTTTACCTATTAAACTGTTTTTTTCTCAAACCATGCGTTTTCTCACTTTTACCTTTGCAATTCTCTTCCCAACACTGGTGGGGGAGTGAGTGCTGTGCCTGTGTGGTACCTGGTGGCTGGCTGGGGTTAAACCATGACAACTAATTTTTTTCTGATCACAGAAACTCTGGGAAACAAAAACTTGAATAACTTTTCTTTTTTTTTTGCTTGAGGAGTAACATATTACAAAGGTTCCTCTGATAGTAAATGGTGTCCTGGACATTCCATTTTTCCCTTTGAAAAGAAACTTCCAGCTCTTCTGTTTTAAAGTCTGAAAGCACATCTTAAGTAGACTCAAAAAACCTGGAACTTTAAATATGCTATTAAAAATCCTACAAGCCTTCAACTACCTAGTTTCTTAGGACAATTTTACAAGAAGAAGGGACCTGACAAAAATTGATGGCTGGCCATGAAATCCTTGAGTGCTGCTGGCCTGAAAGTTCTGAATCCAAAACAGCAGGATGATAGGAAACCATAGATAGAAGAAGACAAGAAGCACTTTGAAATTAACAGAGGCCACACAGTGAGTATGTTGGAGGATGTCCAGTCACTGGCACCACCAAGAAGAGCCTAGCTCTGTCCTCTTTGCACCCTGCCTTTAGGCATTTATGCACACTGAGGAGATCCCCCCATGATCCCTCTGACTTTGGCAGGAGGGTCCTGAAGAAATTCTTCATGCACATCCTCCTTCTTCACCCCATAGTTCCCACTCCAGGAGATTTTATCTCCTGACCTACCTCGGCATCCTCTGGATGCAGGATTCCCTTCTCTCGCACAAGCTTTGGCTGCTGGGACTCAGTCATATGAACACATTTTCCTAAAACTGCAGTGCTCTTTCAAGGGCTCACAGCATGTCAGAGTTCCTCTACTAGCAAAGCACTGTTGTGTTTCTGGAGAAAAAAGCAATAACCTTGCTTGTAACTGTACTGCAGTTTAACTGTACCCCTCTGATCCATGTGAGCACAGGAATAAGATGCAAACACTAAACTGTGTGTCAGAGCAGGGACACCGGGAGAGGTAAATGGCTGCTGTTAACTGAGGGGCAGCTTAAGAGCAATATATAACAGGAAACTGTAATTAAATCTTTAGTGGGCAAAGTTATAATGTGCATTTTTACCCTAGGCTAATCAACAAATTTTTTGTGTAAATAATTAATAGCAACACCTTGTGTGTATTGGATATAAGACCTTTATTCCCTGAGGGACTTCAGTTAGAGTTTTTTCCCTTCTTCTCCAAGTGATGCCAATCTCAGAGGCTGCTCTGCTGATAAAGATTTCTCATTTTATGTGGGGCAGTATTCTCTGCATAACGCAAAGGCTAAGCTGCCCTAGAAAGCTTTTCCTAGTTCTTCAGCCTTCAAAACGCAGTTCCCTTGCTTCTGTAACCTGACAACAGAACCATCTTCTGCAATCAAACCACCTTCCCCAGCAGAGCTACAGGTAAACGCAACAATTTATCGGCAAGTACTGCATCAGATGGTGAGAAACCATATCATCAACATTGTGATGGGGACCCTGACAATTCCATTCTCCAAACACAACCAGAACACAGTGCTGGCAGTGCTGCCCTTATGTCCATGACAGACTCTTTTGTAACTTCAAGACAGTAAATTTCTCTTTTTGCCTTTTGAGAAGTTCTTCCACTAAGTCTTCATCAAGAGGAAAGGGCTAGACCACTTTAGATGAAGGTTTAGGTCCTCTGAAACCAATGTCCATAGACTCCATGGCCCTTTACCATAAAAAGATTTGTTACACAGCCCTCCACACCTCAGGACACAAAAATTGAAGGGATACAGAATGAAGAATAAACATGATTTGCATAAGTAACTGGCTGCCATTATATATATTCCCAGGTGAAATGCCAGTTTGTGCTCCGGCCCATTTTCAAGTACAACCACCATACTAATTAGCCCATGAGATATCAATAAATCAATAAATCTCAGCCACAGCAGGCTCCATTTGTCACAAACTAAATGCTTCCTACCATTACTTATTCAATAGGGAATATGTTTTTAGTGTATGATATTTTGCTACTATTTTATTTTGCATATGCTTCACTGCTGTGAATGTAGAAATGTCCAGGTGTGAAGGGAGCAGAAAAAAAATATTGTAGATGGAGAAAAGGGGAATGAATCATAACTCACATTGTATATTAAAACTAGCTACATCTAACACATCATCTACAGGTGTGGAAGAAAAAAAATCTTTATTACAAAGTAGGGTATGCTAATTAGCTAATTATAGATGATAGACCAGATCCCTATAAGGGATGACTACAGGAATATCTTAACTGAGGAGCACTTGATGACCTTCAGTGGATCCAGCTTCATGACACCTCCCTAATTACATTCCTCCCACAAACTGTTATACTCACAACTATGATCTTAGCAAGTCTATTCATGTTTCCTAATTTGGTGAAGAGCAAGACCAAAGATATCTAGCAGAAGTTACTCTAAAGTGCAAATTATGTAGGAATGGGTTTGCAAATAATGAACCAACCTACTGCTTTGCAGGTTTCTTATTTTTGCTGCTGGGTTTGCATGCTAAACTGAGCAAGAAAACATGGATCAAAATTAAAACAAAATTAATCATGTTAGCTTGCAATTTACTGAAACTAACCATTAAATATGACAATACAGGAGGTAAAGTTGGAAATAACTGCTGTGGTTGTAAAAGCTTTTATATTTGTGACATGTTAAAGTGTACTTTTGATATTTTTTATTGTATCATATTATGGGATCACAAAATAATGGAAATTATCCAGAGTATTCAGACCTATTCTAACTGTTTCAAGTAGGTGTTTCCTACTGAGTACCACAAGAAAGAAAAAAATAATATCAAAGGGAAATCCCTCAGTAGCAAATATCTGAGAAGATGATAGTACTGATGTAAGAGAATTAATCTCCAAACTGTGAAAACCAAACACCCTCTTCTATCAGTACTCACTCTGCACAGGCATATTCTATTGACCAGTCAGTTCACCATTCTTTTGAGATCATCACATCCAAAGGATGATCTCTAACCCCTTCTCGTGATGGAGCTAAGTATCAGGCAGATGTGGGTGTGAACTTCTTGCAGATTGAGATAATCTTCTCTGGATTTGCATGATCAGTCATAAAACAGCTCTCTGACAATATCACATTTTATACAAGTCTGCAGACCATGACTTAAACACTGGATCTGATGAATGTCCTCTTATAGGACATTTAGTATCATTCAAGGCTACTGGATGTGGCATGTGATTAAGTTACAACTCAATTTGACGTGGAATTCATGCACATGCTTAGTTCTGCTTAGTTCATCAACATCTAAACTCACAGACTCCAGTGAGTACTGTACCTACAACTCCTGTAGAAACTAAGTTTTCAGATATGACTTGTGACTGTACTACCCAAAATCTAGAAATTGGTATCACTGTCAGAACCTGATAACCAATACATCAAAAGAAGGACAGAGGCAAAATTACTTCATAATAACATCACTGCTTTCAAGATGCCCTTTACTTTGCTGACCCTTCTGTAGAAAACTTTAAAGTGAACATCTGAGCATGCCTTAGATGTTTCTGTCAGATTCTCAGTAAGGTAATTACTAAAAAACTTTTAAATGTTAAAAATAGCAATCATCTGAGAATAAATATGGAGCTAAATTTACATTGAAATATCTCTTACAGGAAAAAACCTCTTTAAAGCCTCACATTAAAAATTCATATTTCTCTGGGCAGTGCTTTAGTGAAATGACTAAAATGTTGCATTTACAAAATATTATTTTTTCCACCAAGTTTCCTGAAGAGAAAGACTCTGTTGCATCTTTAAAATATCAGGACCATTATGACACAGCAGGATAAAAGCAAGAAAAGACTCAACACTCTTTCATTCCAAGTGGTGTATTTATGCTGTACATAAAAAATAAGTTAATGATGCAGTGTACACTGGGGTAATTCACTCAAATTATACACCATTTATTTTAAGGTTCCTGGTTCTTAGCACTTCTGCATTCCCAGAACCCCTTTGCATTGCTTTCTGTTTTCCTCTGCTCTTCAATTTATGTTTCTGTGCAGTAAATTCCAGATGTTTTTCTCCTGCTCAACTTCTCTGCCTCTCTTCAGGATAAAAAGGATTTATCAGTCAGTATCCACAACTAATAATTCAGGTGAATATTATGTGGCATGACTATCTTTTTCTTACTGTAGCCAGGGTGGCGTTTTTTTTTGCATTAAAACTTCTCTGTACATCTGAGTTTTCATTCAAATTGCCTGATGCATCTTTAATGACTCAGGCTTTTCAAAGGAAATCAGAGGATAATTTAATGGACAGAAATTATCATTAATTTCTATAAGGTTCAGAATGTAGAATGACAGAGGTTTATGGGTCTTGATTGAAATCAAATATAAATTATTCTGATGTTGTCACTGAAGTGCTGAATATTTCCTTTCAAATAAAATGATCATAGAATCATAGAGTGATTTGGGCTGGAAGGGATCTTTAAAGGTCATCTAGTCCAACCCCTCTGCAACAAGCAGAGTGGTTTTCTACTAGACCAGATTGCTCAGAGCCTCCTCCAGCCTGACCTTCAATGCTTACGGGCATGGGGCATTTACCATCTCTTTGGGCAACCTGGTTCAGTGTTTCACCACCCTCATTGTAAAGAACTTCTTCCTTATATCTAGTCTGAATCTAACATCCTCAAGCTTAAAACCATTACTCATTATCCTATGACAACAAGACCTACTAGGAATTCTGTCCCCATCTTTTCCTATAAGCCCTTTTTAAGCACTGAGAGGCCACAGGGAGGTGGCCTCCCAGAGCCTCCTCTAGGAAGAACACCCTCACTCTCTCAGACTGTCTTTCGTAGAGATGCTCCTGCCCTCTCTTCACCTTTGTGACCCTCCTCTGGATCCACTCCAACACATCCATGTCCTTCCTGTGCTGGACTACAGCAAGTCCTTGAGTGCCACAAATAGCACTGAGTATGTTTGAGTGATCAAATACATGGAACCATTAGTGTATCAACTTTGAATTACATAAATAAATTAATATCAAATAGTTAATGTTCCAAAGGAGCTTTTAAAAAATACTGACTTGCTTGTCCATCACTGCAATAAATTTATTTGCATTGTAAAACATTCACTTGTAGTTAGATAATAAAAATACAAGTTCTATATTTTACAAAACAGGAACTTGTGCTTATGAGGCAACATGTTATTTTTAAGGTGGCTTCGATATTCCAAATACACTGAATTCTTAATATGCTGAACAGACTACTTCAGGCTGGTTGATGGGTGCCATATATCATTGGATATAGTCTCCAACATGTTCTAGATTTGAAATAACAAAAAATTCCAATTATGACTTCTAATATATTTTCTTTGAATGATGGGGTGCAACTCCAGGTCCACTGAAGCAATTGAGAGCCATCTTTTTACTTAAAGAGGTTTCTGGATCAGCCTGCTTCTCCTAGAGCCATGAAGAGAACCTGTCTTTTACTCACCTGCTTCTCCCAGCTACTGTTCAGCTTTGGGGACATATTTCAGCTCACTCTTTATGTTCTGAATCTCTGACAAGTTGACAGCAGGACCTGGAAGTTTCTTAGCTCCTGGGAACAACTTCTTCTCTTTCTCCTCCTCTGTTGAAGCAGGAACATTCTGCGTGAAAGGACACCAGTGACCTTCCTGCTGCAATAGCAATCTCTTGCCCATGAGCATAGATCAGTTATTTGAAAAACATGAAATTATGTTTTTATACTAAAGGCAACCCCATTGGAAAATGGGGTAGAGGCATGAAGAGATAGGTTATTTTGTAGGTTGTTGTCTAAAATGTCTAAAAACATTCTAAAAAGAATAGAAAATGCTCAGTGTAGAGGAATGAGGATTAGATGGGTAAGAATTTACAGTGCCAGGCAATTAGTAGAAAATAACTGACTGGAGAATCAAAAGCAACTCCAAGTAATTCACATTTAAGATGACAAAAAAGTAGAATTTTTTTTTAATAATGTTTACAATTATTTATTTATAATCTAATTCCTTTCAGAGTTTCACAGTTGCCAGACTCTTGGAGAGGAACATCATCATGCACTTCTGCAGCTCTGGGTAAGAGCTATGAGAGTAGGTTACGGACTCCAAAGGCTCCATGCAAGATCACCATGAGTTGAAATTTAACTTTTCATAACCTCAGTTACAAGACCAGAAGGGTTTTTGTTGTTTTATGTTTGAATCAGGGTAGTGCTGCTTGGCTATTTTGCTGACACTGTAAAAGCGCCAGTTAAATCACAGCAATTACACAATAGTGAGCAACTCAGCTCATTTCCCAATGGATCACAGTATTTCAGCCCTTATTGTTTTCAGGTATTATTGGTACCTCCTCAGCTGTACTATTGCTTCTAGGTGAGTAGAGCAGGTATTTTAGACCATTTCTACTCTAGACTGGGTAATGTTTTGAAGGAGTAGATTTCCAGATACAAGTTTACTGTTGTTCCAGCCTGTTGTGTATTTTATAAAGCTGACATACAGGAGGAATCAAGTACATTTACAGATTAATTCATAGTTTACTACAAATAACTTCATGATGAAATTATTTTTTCACTTTAGATTACTCTGTGAACATCTTCTTGTGATGGGCTTTTTAGAGTTCAATAATTATTTAGATTTATTAGCCACTCTTTTTGAAAAGGTGTATTAACTGTCAACAGTCCATTCTTAATATTTAACTTAGTTTTTAAAATTCCAACATTACTTGTCAAATATTATTGGCCAGTAAACTCCTCAGTTTTTCTCTGTTGACTGATGGACTACATGCTAATCAGGAAGAAGACTTTGCAGTGTCAAGTAGCAAACAAACAAGGTATTGACAGAAAACTGTCAATTTCTGACATTGTCTTCCTATCTAATCTTTAAGGACTTTCTTAAGATCACCAGATATAAAAAAAAAACAGAAATGATAACTACATATATTGGCTCAGTAGACTTGTACTATCTTCTCTCACATTTTAGCCAATACAATATTAATATGAGATAATAATAATAGTATTTTACTATTGTTTTTGCAGGATCATTTCAAATCCAAGCCAGTAATTCAGCCCCAGGTACTGTATGTACTGCCTGATACCTGGTTTAATGATCTAACATCCTGAAATAGTAGTAAAGCACAGCAAGAGAATAAGTAAATTGATACAGAAGCTGTTTGGAAGGATGCATAAAATTGTATCAGTAGTCAAAGATGCCATGAGCTTGTATTGTTTCCTTTGACAGTTTTCCTAGCTAATCTGAATAATCAGGGGAAACAAGCACTCCCTGAACCCTGTAGTATTTCTTAGTACATAGCAGAAACTGTGTAAAAAATACCATTTCAAGTCATGTGCAATACCATTCCTCTTGTAGAGTAAGTGATGCAAGCTTTGCCCACATTTTGGAGACTTTGTGCTCAGTAAATCGCTGTCAGTTTTCTCTTCCAGCCTCAGGTGTTTGCTATTTATGACCTCACTGCTCCCTGTATCACCAACTCCATGTGCAACACACAGCTGAGATTAGGCTATGGCCTTCAGTTTTATGGAAGGAAGCTTGTAGAGTGACTTAGATATAAAATAAGGGTTAAGAAATACAAGCATGGGAATGCTCTGACTGAAGAAGAGTTCTTGCCTGTAATTCCTGCCCTCCATTTCTTTTCATGTTAACATGTCTGCTCCACTAACCTTCAAAAATATACATTCCTATCTGACTCCACCACCCCTTTGAGTAAGATCCATATTCCCCTCATCTCCTCATCAAGGCTTAAAAATACAGTGGAAAATGCACTGTTAGCAGTGATTATGCACTGTTAACAAAAGTTGTATTCATCTAAAACTGCTCTGAAAAATCATGAGCTGTATGGCAAAACTTACGGCAAAACTTAACAAGTTGAGAAAATTGAAATGAAAAGTTCCCTGGTAGCAGTTTTATTCTATTCCTATAACAAGATCTGTAGTGTTTAATTGCATTGGTTGTTTGAGTATTGGCCACAAAACCTGTGCCAAGAACTTCCATTATGTCTGTTTCATATAGAGTATTCATGTAGCTGAGAAACAAAGCAACATTCAATTACCCAAACCAATGTAATTATCAGCACCAGTCATTTATTTTATTTCTCAAACACTACTAGAATTCACACATGCTATATTAGTTTCTGCTTAATAACATTCACTCCTTCACCAGTTTAATTACTGCAGAGAGAATATGCTTTGATTTCTTTCCAAGGGAGAAAGCCACAATATATGTTCAAGGTCATTTTGTATGTCTGTTTTTTAAATCTTCTTAAGAGCCAAGTCAGCCTAGATTCGATTACTTCAGGAAAGTTCTCTGTAAACAGAGCACTGTTTATATCAAAATATGTCAAAATTCAGAAAAAAAAAAGTCTGAGACAGAAAAGGAAGAATTGGCTCATACACAGCCTTTTCTGCCCTTGGCTGTGAGGAGCAGTGGGAGCTCTGGCCCAGCAGGATGAGTTCTCATGAGGGGATTATGAATCTAAATTAAGTAAACTGGCCAGGAAACCAGCACCCATCTTTTTTTATCTTGCTTGAGTATCTACCACTACCTTTTATTGCACTGCTGGTGTTAGGGTCTCATTTATTATTGAAGTTAATGGTAAATAAGATGTTTTAATGTAATTCAGAAATAACCTTTGTGATCAATATTAGTTAAGGTATAAACTGGATTTTATATTCAAGACTCAGTGTTAAACACTTCCTGTAAAAGACAAGCATGAAAACACAGAATTCAGTCTAAAACAGAGTATTTTCACCCCTGGGTAGGTAAATGGGTTTGGAATTTCTGTTTAATTTAGAAATGTCTTCATATTCAGTTTCTTCTTGTTGATAAACCCTCCAAAAAGTGTTGTGTTTGAAAACCTGTTCCAATATTGTTAAGCTGTAACAATAAAACACACCACAGGGTGACAGGTAGCAGCAAAGTCTTCCAAAGCCTTGCTATAACTTTTCCTGTGGTATCTCATCAGCTCCCATCTAGACAAATACTGCTGGTGAAATCCTGGCTTTCTCTCCTGACAGCAGATATCATCCCGCTGGGGAAGCAGAGCTACACACGTAAACATTTATATTCCTATAGGTGCTTTGGCACCAAAAGCAGAACTATTTATACATGAAGTGTTAGTAAGTGGCCATTTATTCCCATGAATATCAGTGTTCAACTCTGGTACCTAAGACTGGTATGCAGAGTTGTAAGGTCACTTTAAAGGCTTTTTTTTCTATTTTATGGGAGGGATTCTCCTCAGGAAAAAAAAAATCAAAAAACCTTTTTTGCTTACCTCCTCCACTTCTTCAGGTGTAAGTTCTTTTCTTTTATGAGGGTGGCCTGCACCAGGTCGAAATGCTCCCATTGGGATGTTAATATTAGCCTGTGAGAAGGAAATTGAGATGCACATAATAGTGGCTGATAAATAAAGATCCAGTTGGCAAATGGCAAAACTCAAAAGGAGTGGGACAAGCATATAGACATTATCGTGGTTTCCAAGCACTTATGCTTTCAATGCAACATCACACCACTCGATGTGTTCTCATCTCCATTTTAAAAAAAAGTGAAAAAACAAACTAGAAAGCTTTTGAAGTTCTGCATTTTAGACTAATGCTTCCTGATTTCATTGGACATAAACAAATGAGTACTGGACACTAAAGTGTCTTTAGGCACCTGGGTCTGTTTCAGTTTGGTCAAACAGAAAGTGAGTACCAAAAGCAACGTTTAAGTGTAAAACATGCAAATCCTTCAATAACAACCAATCACTGAATGTGATTTTACCAACAAAATTTACTCACAGTTGCTACAAACTGAAAATACTTGAACCATTTCCAGCCCTGGCTTCTGCAAAGTCCCTCCAGAATTATACCCACACAATTGCGTCAATCTCATCTTTTATCTGGGGCAGAAAGCCAGTGGCCATAACATAATTAGGGCTGATATCTTAAATATTTTGGGGAATAGAATGGTACAAAACACTGCTCAGAAAGAGCAGCTGAAAAGTATCCATTTCCCAGTGTAACCCAGCCAAGATTGTTTTAAAAGTCAAATGGCATGATCAACTAAATGCACAATTTATACTTATTCTTATCTCGTGATCTCAGAAGAGAAGCTGCTCCTAGGAAATGTCATCAAAATATCATGACTCCCACTGGTAAAACCAGGGGGTGAATCGGTAATGTTACGGAGCGGAAGCAGAAAACCTTCTAACAGCGAGCTCTGTTCTTGTCCTTTACCATCTGAATCATCTGCACTAAATTAAGGCAATCCCATCCTTCTGCTCAAGTTATGGTCTTGCAGATCGTGCCCCACCTGGGCAACAACAGGAAAACAGCCTACAGTTTTTAGTAACAACAACTGTTCTGACAGCTGTAATCAAATGACGAGCAAATTAATGAATCCATCTGCCAAGAAGTTAATGCTTTTCCCTGTATTCTACTTACCTGTTTCCCATTATCTTATTTATGCAAGATGATGCTGTAATTTCAGTGGGGCTGACAAATATCTGCAGGGTCACAGGCAACCAGGTATTTGTTTCATAAACCTCTTTCACTGGGTATTAGTTTAGATATTGTGAAGCTTTTCACCTGCACTTTGTAAGTTCCCAGGAGACAGGGCATTTTCAGCCTCACAGTTCCTAACTCAATATTTAATTTATATGTGGAAAAAACCCAGCTTTGCCATTTCTAATTTTAAGTAACTGCCCCACCAAGCTCTGGTATCTCCAGACAGCTTCGATTTTTGGAATGGGAAACTTCTCTGCAAATTACAGCTAGCATGGTCATACAAGTTTGCAGAGTTGAAACTTTAAGAAATATCTCTCCTCATGGTGCACATCCTGAACTTGGACATTCCTTCCCCTTGGAGGCAGCCAAAGCAGAAGCCGGCCTCCCAGGGAACACTACAGCCCTTGAAATTCCCACTGTAATTGACAGACCAACTGTGACTAAAAGTGGTTCAGAAAGCAAAAATGAACCACTAAGTCCCAGGCTGCTAATTAAATTCAATAAACCACTCTTTGGTCTGCTTCAGCACTTTCCCAGTAATCTGTGTCACACAAAAGCACTTTGTACTTTTTTTATCTGCAGTAGGTACATTCACGTCAGAGTATGGGCAAGAAGTACGAAGTCATGACATAAAAATATGGTAAAATGAGCATCCTTTAAGATATAGTTAAAAACTGCCTGCATCTGATAACACATACTGTGAATTAAAATATTTCCTCTATGAAATGAAAATATAACATTTCCAAACAATTCCTGACCATAGGTACCAAAGTCCTGAGCTGTAAATGCCTCTTAATCCAATGCTGGTCATGTCTCACAGATGAGCAGCTGTGTAATGGGAGGGCCAAATTCTATACACAGCATAGTCTGCAAGGGCTTGTGCTGTGATCAGCACAAGTTCACAATTTTGTTTTAAAAATATGTTTTATGGCTTTTGTCACCTGTAAGCTGAGATGGAGATATGACCCTAGGGGATCTTCAACCAGTAAAATGCTAAATAGGAAGTTTTTGGTTCCAGACTCTGGAAATCCTAAATTATAATTGCTTTAGACAGGCTTTCTAGGTGTGATTGTTATGTTTAACCAAAATAATTATGAAAACTATTGAGTTTGTCTCTTCCTTTGTTTGAACAGCCTACCATACTGTGTGTTATTGCAGTTTTTCATACAATGATACAAAGGTATGTGCACTGATGTACTCTACCAGGGACCTTCTGAACAGACCAAAGGAAAAACGACATACTAATGTATTGCTGGTTTGACTCAAACCACTATTAGTCTTTCTGTTTAATAGAGAGAGGGTATTAAGGTTAGGATACAACTGATAAAGCTGTGCATGAGTTAAGGACTGTTACGGATAAGTCCTACACAGCATCACTGCCATTGCTGGCTGTCCAGATGGATGATTGAGTACTCTGGAAATATACTTTTGTATAAATATATTTAATTAAAAAAAAACAAACAGAGAGAGAGAAAGAGAGGGAAGGTGCGGGAAGGTGCGGGAAGGGAAGGTGCGGGAAGGGAAGGTGCGGGAAGGTGCGGGAAGGTGCGGGAAGGTGCGGGAAGGTGCGGGAAGGGAAGGTGCGGGAAGGGAAGGTGCGGGAAGG